CTTCGCATATCCCCACCAACCCATCCAGAAGGAGATGGCCAGGCGAGTTGCCTTGACCAGGGAAGTGTAGAAGAGTGCAGTGTAACAACCGCTCTGGAAGCGTGTTTTTTTTTCTGAGGTCTCGTGGAGTCATCTTGGGGCTCTCTTGGGGTCCTCGCAGAGCCTCTTGGGGCACTCTTGATGCCCTCTCGGGGCTCTCTTGGGGCCTTCTTGGCGCCCTCTTGGGGCTCGGTCGGGGGGGTATGGGCGGCCTCTTGGGGCCATCTTGGCCCCCACAATTTTAAAAGAGGGGGAAGGAAATTCAGGTACCCCCCTGGGAGGCTCAAACATGGCGTCTTGAGGCCCTCTTGGGGCGCTCTTGGGCGCTCTTGGGACTGTCTTGGGGATTTCTGGAGCCCCTCTTGGGGCTCGCGTGAGCCGTCTTGGGGCCATCTTGAGGCCTCAAGAGCCCAGCGGAAGCGAAACGGCGAGAAGGCAAAACACATGGGTTTTCCTTAGGTGTTGGAGCCATGTTTGCCTCTTGGGGGGTCCTTGGAGGGCTCGGAGGGCACTTGAAACCGTCTTGGCGTCGTCTGGATGCCTCTTAGATGTGAGGCGGAGGCTATCTTGAAACATCTTGTGATCGTTTCTTTATTCACTGTTTTGCCGATTGGCGTGGGCCCTCGACCCCCCTCCCCTCCCCGCCCCATGGAGTAGATCCTGGCTGTTTCTGTTGCGCCTGTTTCGAGCGGGTGGAGTCTGCCCCAGAGGCCGCACTTTTGCAAACAGCCGCACTGAGCAGAGGTCTGGAGCCAGACCACCCTCCCTCCCCCCCCTTGCCGCCCATGTCGAAACGCCAAAAAAAACACCTTGAGGTATCTTGAGCCATCTTGGAGGCCATCTTGCGCTCTCAGAGGCCCTCTTGGGGACCGTCCTGGGCCATCTTGGGCGCTCTGCAACCCCTCGCGAGGGAGGCGCCCCTTCCAGGCCCAGGGGAGGGGGTTCAGCGGAGGGTCAGACCCCTCCCCCGAGCAGGGGAAGGAAGGAGCTCAGGCAGAGGCACGACAAGTTAAGCCACCTGCGCCCAGCTGTTGCACGGCAGAGGCATCAGCAGCAGCCCTGCTGCTGCTGTGCCTGACGGAGGCGGCGGAGCCCGCGATGCTCGCCGCGCCTCCCCGGCCTTGCGGGTGTCTGCGCGACAGGATGCTGCACGTAGAGCAACAGACTCTTCTCGGAGGGCACCAACTATACACCAACACCGATCCTGGCCCAGGATCCCCCTGGGCCCAGGATCGGTGTATATGCCTTCTTGCGCAAGGCAGGAGGGCGTATACACCGATCCTGGGCCCAGGGTGATCCTGGGCCAGGATCGGTGTTGGTGTATAGTTGGTGCCTTCCTATCTTCCCTCTCATCCACCAGTGCCTTCCCAGCCACAGCGTCGGAGCGGGCGGGGAAGATGTCGATCCGGCGGGCGGAGGATACAGGGCTTGGTGCCTCCAGCCCACCTCTCGCTCTCGGCGAGTGCGTCGGCTTGGCGCCGTCTTGCGCCGTAGTGGCCTATACTTTACCCGCCAGGCGAGCCGGCGGCGGCGCCTCGGCGGCGGGCGGGATCGCCGCGTACTTCCGGCCGCAGGCCGCGTGAGCGCCAGGCCGCGAAGGCGCGTGTGCGCCAGGCCGCGCGGTTTGAGCGGCACGCGCAGTGGCCCCCCTCCCCCCCCCCTCCCGAGGGCGCCGCGCGTCGTGGCGAAAGTCACGACGGAAGGCTTCTTGCGGGGGCCCTCGCCGGGCCCCAGAGGCGTCGAGGCGTGGAGAAACGACGCAGGATGAAGACGACGGGGTCCCAGGGAATGGGTCGAGACTTCTGGGGCGTCCAGCTTGCGAGGAAATCATGACCTCTTGGCGTCTGGGTCCTGTCCCTCTCGACCGCGGGGACGTCAACCGACCGCCTCGCCGATGCTGCCCAGGCCCATCGCGGGCCGACGATCGGTGCAGGTGCTTCCCTGGCCGAGGCCAGGAGAGCGTATGCATCGATGCCGGGCCCAGGACGGGCCTGGTCAGCATCGGTGGGGCGGTCGGCTGACGTTCCCCGACTCCTCCCTGCCCCGTTCCTGCTTCCTCATTTGCCTCCTCTCCCCTCGCCCCCTTCCCCCTCCTCATCTCCTGCCCCTTGTCTCTTCTACCCGCTCCTCCTTCCCTCATGGGAGTACATTCGGTATTTGCCCGCCTGCGGCGCACCCCGCCACCCGTGCCAGCGCAGCAGCGACGTGCATGCAGGACTCGGAGGGCGCCAACTGTACACACCTACTCCGATCCTCGGCAGGCCGATCCTGGGCCCAGAATCGGCCCATGTGCCTGGCCCATCCAGGAGAGTGCAGTGTATACCGCATAGTTACAGGATCGTCGGCTTGGCCAGCATCGGTGTAGGTGGATGGTCGGCGTCGCATAAGCTGCCTTGTCTTCATACTCCTCCTCCTCCTCCTCCTCCTCCTCCTCCTCCTCCTCCTCTTCCTCCTCATCCTCTGCCTCCTCCTCCTCCTCCTCCTCATCCTCATCCTCCCCCTATTTCTCCTCCTCTTCCTCCTCCTCCTCCTTCTTCTCCTCCTCCCTCTCCTCCTCCTCCCTCCTCCTCCTCCTCCTCCTCCTCCTCCGCTCCTCGCAGTCCTCTTCTCCTCCTCCTCCTCCTCCTTCTCCTCCTCCTCCTCATCCTCCTCCTCCTCCATCTCCTCCTCCTGCTCCTCCTCCTCCTCCTCTCTCCTCCTCCTCCTCCTCCTCCCTCTCCTCCTCCTCCTCCTTCTCCTCCTCTTCTCCTCCTCCTCCTCCTCCTCCTGCTTCCCTCCCTCCTCCTCCTTCTCTCCTCCTCCTCCTCCTCCTCGTCTGCCTGCTCCTCCTTCTCCTATTCCCTCCTCCTCCTCTTCCTCCTCCTCCTCCTCCTCCTCCTCCTTCTCCCTGGCTGGCTGTACAAGAGAGGAGTACCCCTTCCCATCAGGCGTGGAAGCCAGCGATTGCCAAGAACAGACGAGCTCTTCAGGTCAGGTAGGCCTCTGGGGCTGGCATGGCCCTGCAGAGCCCTCCCCGAGCAGCCTCGGTAGAGGTCGTCGTGGGTAGCTGCTCTTGGAAGCACAGGGGGAGGAGGGGGAGGAGGAGGAGGAGGAGGAGGAGGAGGAGGAAGGGAGGAGGAGGAGGAGGAGGAGGAGGAGGAGGAGGAAGAGGAGGAGGAGGAGGAGGAGGTGGAGGAGGGTGAGAAGGAGGATGCCGCGCAGCGTCGCTGCAGGCGTGGGCGCGGTCGAGGCGGTGCACGGATGTGGTGCTGCCTCTTTCGGGGTGTTTTTTGGGAGGCGTGACGGGGTATCCGTGGGCGCCTCTCACAAATGCCGATCTGCTGCTGTGTTCGGCCTCTGGGGGCCCTCACTGGGCGCCATGACAACACCGGATGAAAAGCCGGCTCAAAAAAGGTCGAGACTTCTGGGGGCTGACGATGAATGACGTCGGGGGTCTGGGCTTGGCGACCCCTCGGGGCCCTCTCGTCAGAGGAGGAGACACCGATACCGATGCCTCCCCCTCGTCGCCACGGATGGGTTCGCCCCGAAATCTTTGTCAGGACGCACCCCTGGAGAGGTCGTGGAGTAGCTGAGGTAGCACGGTAGCTCGGTGCTCTTTCTGTCTCCCCGTCTCGGGGGCCTCCTGGGGGCATTTGGAGGGCCTGTGGGGGGGTCCGTCGGGGGTGCTGGGGCCGCCTTGGAGGCGATGGTTTTTGGGGAGCTCTCCCGCAGCGGCCCGGTGAAGCCATCTCGGGGCCTCCTCTCGGGATCTCGGAGGGGCTCCTGGGACTCGATGTGGCCGCTTCGCGGCTCCCTGGGCCCCTGAGGTCAACTTGAACCAGAAGGCCAGGCCATCACAGATCGGCCAGAAGGAGGTGTGCCCTCGTGGCGGAAGGCCCGAGGCAACGTCACGCAGTCCACGACGGGGAAGGGGGCGCTGCGGGGGGGGGGGGCCAGCGGCGAGAAGCCACGGTGGGGGCCACCGATCTCGGGGGGGCGCAGGCCACTCTCGGCCTCCTGGATGTGGCCGGAGTCGAGGTGAGTCGGGCACGTCCCTCTCCAGGAGGGACAGTCCAGAATGGTCAAGCAATAGTCTGGGAAGGACTTGCCAATTGCTTTTGGAGCGTGTTGAGAATCGTTTAACCATTGTTCAATCTGATGCATCGGCGGTGCGGCGCGATCCTCCGACGCCATCTGCGCGGGCCCCATCCAGGAGGCCTCCGGCTCCCGGAGCCACGGTGGGCCATCGGTTTCGGGGGACCGCCGTCCCTCCACGGGCGATCGAAGACTTGCAGACTTACGTCGGGCCTGTCCCTCTACAGGCGGAATATTCGAACATAGTCAAACATTAGTTTGGGGACGATTTGTTTCGACTATGTTTGCTTATGTTTTAATATGGTTTGACTATGTTTGGTTGTTCCTCCAAAATCCGCCTGTTTGTAGACGTTCTACAAATGTGAACGGAAGTCCTGATGATGTTCTGCGCGTTCTTGCTCCCAAGCGCATTGCAGGCAGGCTTGTCGGGCGTCTCTTGGGGGCGAACTGTGTACCATGAGGGCCTCTTGGCGATATGGGCCTCTGTCGAAAAGCAAACATCTGCATATCCATACTGCCTCTTACGTTCGCGCGGATTTCTTGGATCGGCGCTGCGCCAGATGCTCCCGCAATGGCAAGCTTTGTCACCGCAGGCGGGGCGTAGTACGTGGTCGTGCACATCGGCCCAGCGGCCACGAATGTCCTCCAGCAGGGGGGCCTGCTTTCAGAAATGGCGGGAGATCATCCTGAAGGCCCCTGCCTCCGACGCCCCTCCCGACTCCCCGCGTCCGTGCGGGCTCGTGGGCCTCCCACCTTTGGGCTGCTCTGCCCGGCTGCATCCGCCGCCGAAGCTGCTTCTGCACAAAGCGACTCGGTGCATCCACAGGCTGCTCAAGTCATATCCCACTTCGCCCACGGGACGCGACCTCTGGTTATGTACCTCCGAGGTCGGGCGCCCGGCTCGGCCCCGACCTCCATGGCTGCGTGCATGGCGGCGACGCGCTGGCGCACGGCGCAGAGCGCTGCCCCCCAGCATGCTGCACGGTGCGAGGAGCTCGAGGATAGCTCGTGGCGTCTCAACACGCTCGCACGCCGTGAACACGATCACTGGTCACTGCCGTGCCGGCGCGACCCGCGGGCCATGGTCCGATTTCTGCGCGACGGTGCACCTCCGACCGCTCTCCCGAAGGTTGCCTCTGCATCTCATCGGATTGCTGCTGCCGGGGGTTCCCAAGCAGCCACGCCGGCCGCAAAGCTCCAGGAGCGGCAGCGGCTCCGGGGGGTGTATGCTCGCTCTGTGGCCCGCGAGTTGCACCCAGGCAGGGAGCGCCTCGCGCTGCAGAAGCGAGCGCGCTCCCGGTGTCCCGAGCTCTGGGTCCCTCCCCTCGCCCCCCCCTGGTGGGCTTCAGGGGGTGCCCTTGCAAAGACTCGCCCCACGGTCTTCTGGTCGGCAGTGAGAGCGCTCGCGGGCGGAGGCATCGCCACCCGCAGGACGCACATCCTCGGCCAGCGGGGATGCGTCTGTGGGTGCGAGGGTGGGCCTGATTCAAGCAGTGGCGAAGCGTTCTGACTCGCCTATAGGCCTACCGAAGAATGTTCTAAGAACCTTTTGTGGTCTGCGCGAAATTTCCTCAGAGCATTTCTGGCTGGGGCTGTCTTGTTTTAGCACATCGGGTTTGTGTTCTCAGAACGTTGTTCTTGTTCTTCGAACATTTTTGGGCTCTAAGAACTTTGTGTGGTAGGCCTGTAGAACTGCTGGGACGGTCGGTCCCTGCTCAACTGATGCGATCTCCCACTGACACTCCTGCCCCCCGCCTGCTCCACCTCGTCGCCGTACCTCGCTCCGTCCTCCCCGCCTCCGTGATCGTCCGCCTCGGCCTTGGCGAGGAGCCTGATTGCAATGAGGAGACTTCCAGGGATCGCGCGCTCTGGCTGTTGGTCCCCGCCTTCAAACGTTACCACAAGCTACGTCTGCACACTCCTGGCGCGCTTATCTCATATCCTGAGCAAGTCGAAGTGCTCCCCGCATCTACGCGCTCTCTCGGCGTGTATGGCAAGAAAAAGTAGCCCCGCCAAGCCACGTGCGATCATCATCATTCTCATCATCACCGTCATCATCATCATCAACATCATCAAGATCATCAGCAGCAACATCAGCAGCAGCATCATCCTCCTCCTCTGCGTCGTCATCGCCGTCGTCGTCGTTGTCGTCGAGGGCCGTTGCCGTCACATCGTCATAACCTCACGTCGATGAGCAGCTCCATCATCATCATCATCCCTATTTCCGCATTCCTACCCGCTTGCGCCCTTCCTGGGCTATATTGTGAGTCTGCGCCAGCCCAGGCTCCCAACAGCACCAGGTGACGGGACAGCCCTTTTTACACGAGCCGGTGACGCAACAAGTTTCGGCAAAGGGCCCCAAGAGTGAGCAGCCACGCAGAAAGCTCTTAACGCCAAGGCTCCCAAGAACGACCAGTGACGTCAACTCAGCGAATTGTGACAAAAGCAGATCTTAACCCCCAGGATCCCAGATCGAGCGATGACGTAAACAACTCTTCACACCAAGGCTCCCAAAAGCGAGCGGTGACGTGAAAAGATCTTAACGTCAAGGCTCCCACGAGCGAGCGATGACGTGAACAAGCTCTTCACACCAAAGCTTCAAAGAGCGAACGGTGACATGAAACATCTTTGTAAAGCCAAATGTCTTAAGAGCAAACGTTGTAAAAGAGCCCTCTCGGGCAAGTTCCTGAAGCGCTCTTTCCGTTCCCGCGCCGGCGATCCCAGTCTCTAACACGCTTGACCGCATGGTGGCGGATCTGAGTTCCGCCGCGCAGTAGGGGGGCAGCGCGCGCTCAGATACGTAGGTTGGCCTGTCGGGCACGGTGCTACGACCGTGCTGCTGCGGCAGGCGTGTCGCCAGAAATATCGCAAAGGCGACCCGCGACCCCTCGTGTAGTGTGTGCAGTCCTCCTTGGTCTCGGTGTTCCCCGATTGGACGTTCGTATCCGCGCTCGTTGTCGATCGAACGACGGCCCAACTGAATGCAGACATGCAACCGTCCTGTATCTAGCGGAAGGTTCGGCCTTTTGGGGTGACCACCGCGTTGAGGAAGCATGTGTCAGTCATCATTATTGTCAGGAGTACGTGCTTTCGCCTTCTCCTACATGTAGATGCTGTTCCCGTGTTGCTTGCTTTGCCATCTCGCTCGATGAACTGTTCTTGTTTTGCACTGCTGAGCATGCTTTTCGCCAGTCGAAGATCAACCACGGGATAAACATTATGTCTCTGATGTCCAGGCGGATGCCTTGGATCGGCACTGGGCCCCCCTTGGCCAGCGAGGAGGGTCAGCACCAATCCATAAAAATCTGCGCTGACCTTCGAAGAATTATGTTGTTGCAGTTGGTTGCTCGTCGCGCTAATCGAGAGCACAGTCGGTTGCTGCTTGTTGCGAGGTGCGTCTCTCGCGCTTGCTAAGCCGACGTGTTTCATTCCGCGTTATGGCCTCGCCCACACCTGGCGCCCAGCACTGTGCTACTCAGCCATGGTCTGTTTTTGTTGTGGCACCTTGGGTCTCATCAACACTCCGCCAGTGAACTCGAATGCTGGGGGTTTGCAAATTTCATCGTAGAAGGTTTTCGCGGCCCCGGTAGTTATGTATTCAAGTTTACTATAGCATGAGGCCTTCACACCCCTATTCTTGTCATAGGGGTCAACCATATATTATGTGGTTGGCCTCTCTGGTAGATTAGGGTTCGTGGCTCATGTCCGTGCGCGGGCGAAGCGACACTCGAATTGCACGATTGCGCTTTGCGGCAGTCGTTTGTCCTCTTGCTACAACTGCAGGCGGGCGATCGTACAGAGTCGTGATGTCGTTGTGTCATGGGCAGTCGGCGGGCCGATTGGTGTCGTGGGAGGGAGGCTGGGTGGATGGTATTCGGGCAGGCGGTGCGACGGACAAGGGACGAAGACGACTGCAGAGTGATTCACTGTGCTGTAGGATCCCAGAGGCGATGCAATTGATCAGACTGCTGCGAAGCCGTGGCCTCAGCATAGCACTCGGGCGCGCGCCAAGACGCCAAGCCACAACGACCAGACAAAGTGTTGAATATGTTGACTGTCTGCTTTGGGCGGCTGCTCCAACAGGCAGGGCGCGCGCGGCCTGGTTTGTCCGTGGGCCACGGCTTCCTCGGCAGCTACCCTTTGCTTCCCGTCAGCGGCCTGGACGGCATCGGCCAGCAGTCTAGGGATCGTAGCCGGACAGCGCGAGCCTTCCACATCTGAGCGCGCTTCCAAGCGCTGGGCGTGCAGCAGTTGCCTACGGGCCGCGAGCTCTCCAGATACCTTGCAGCCGCGCTCGCGCTCTTCAGTGGGTGGCGTCAGCTGGGGCGCACGGCGCCGTCTTCCCCCTGAGCCGCCCGCGTTTAGCCGGTGTCCGAATCGCAGCCTGGGATCCCTCGCCTGATCAAGCTGCCCACCAGGCAGCGACACAGCCAGGGTTGAGCACGTACGCGCTGGGTGCCCACATCTCTGTCGACCAAAACCGATCACGCAGAAGTGCCAGGTGCTCTGGATAGGGGGCCACATGCGAACCCTACCCCTACCCACCACGATTTCCGAGGGGGAGGGTGGGGTTCACTTTTCTCAGGAGCTCCCGAACGAAGTGAAACCCACCCTCCCCCTCAGAAATCGTGGGGGGTAGGGGTAGGGTTCGCATGTGGCCCCCTCCTGGAAGAGCCTGCCCCGTTGTGCGGGATTCTGTCGGCAGCTGCTTCGCCAGAGGGGGCTCTGGCCAGAGTGTTGCCGGGGCCTGCGCTCCTGGAGGGCCCGCAGGGAGGATCGATGGAAGCGATGCTCACCACCTACCAAGCCATCCCAACCCAACCCGAAGGCCTCAATGTGCCCTCCATTTCCAGTGGGGGGGGGTCGGGGAACATCGACAAAGACACGTATGGAACCCATACCCCCCCCCAACCCGAAATTCGGGTCTTCGGGTTGGGTTGGGGTGGTCTGGTAGGTAGTCAGATGCTGTGCGCCGCAACCCCACTTGCTGCTGCAGACCTGGGCCATAACAACCAGCGCGTATTCATCGGTTTTTGTTGCCCACGCTGGTCCTGCGAATTACCAGCAACGCGGTGGAGCACACTGGTGTTATCGGGTGGGGACAATATGTTCGGCTCCCACGTCAGAGCCGTTCCAAGTTGATGATGGAATTGGTAATGATTGTGCCGAGCGTGATGCCGACAATGATGCTAATCATGGTGGCGAGCGTGGGAAACAAAAACACGCACAATGTAGCATGCGGTGGGTAGCACGTCGTGTTCAGTAATCAGCTGCACGCAATAGGTAGTTCGAAATACGTAGTCGGGGCTGGCGTGAAGTAAAGCATGGGTTGTAAGGGGGACCTATAATTCTTCACGCTTCGTGTATCCCCACCAGCGCATCCCGGGCGCTGCGTCCGCTCCCTGACATTTGCCGGAGCCGCGAACCAAAAAAGTATCCCCACCAGCGCCTTTCGGCGCGCGGTCGGTCCGTGACGCTTGCGAAGAAAAACAATCCCCACCAGCTCCTGAATTCCCCACCGTTTTGGCGATGCAGTCCGCCTGGCGGTTCCCCCCAGGCGACGGCGCCCTCTTCCGAGCGGCAGCGAGGCCCGCCTCCTGGTTGTTCCTCCCTTCGATGTCCCCTCGTCGCCTCATTGCCTTCCCCTATGCGCAATTAGCTCGTAGTTTGCTTGCTGCGACCTTTGACGGCGCCCGGCGTCCTCCGGTGCGCCCGCGATGAAAAAAGGATCCCCACGAGCCCCGGGCGGCTGCTCCCCCCCGGTCCTCTTCAACGAGGTGGTCTTTGCCCACGTGGGGCCTCCCAGTCTTCCTGCTTTTCTGCAGGGTCGTCGTGTTCGGCAAGTCGGGTCTGGCTTACTTTCGTCGCCGCCTTGTGGGTAAGTGTGGCGTTCCGGTCGCCCTACGCCGCCATCGTGGACGCGGCCTTCCTCGACACCTTCCTCAAGCTCCTGGTGCTCTTCGACGTTTTCGCACCGTTTTGTTCGTCTGAGCTCCGCTTCGTACCGGGTTCTGCTCGTCCTGCTTGTCCGCAGCCGGTGGCATAGCCTGCCCCTGCCAGCGCGGCTCTCGACCCGTTTCGCGCGCGCGCGCCCGCGCACCCAAAAGAATATCGCCACCAGCACATTCAGAAATCCTGTCCATGAGAGCTGACGGGGAAAGGGACGAATAGACACCCATAGTGAAACCAAGCGGGCAACCAGGGTGAACAGAAGGATTTTTCGGAGTATGGGGGTGGCCTTGGGCCTCATCAGGCCATCGTTGGGGCCCGCGTGGGGGCGAGGGAAGGAGGAGGAGGAGGAGGTGGAGGAGGAGGAGGAGGAGGAGGCGATGGAAGAAGACGACCACGATTGCGACCACGACCACGGCGACGAGGACGAGGGCGAGGACGAGGAAAGGAAACGTGAGACGATGAGGGCAAAGACGAGGACGAGGAGGAGGAAGAGGAGGAGGAGGAGGAGGAGGAGGAGGAGGAGGAGGAAAGGGAGGACACCGATGACAAGGACAGAGCCTTCAAAATCGCCTCTTGGTGCCCTATTGGGGTTCTTCGGGGTGATATTTGTGTCCTCGTGTGGGGGGGCCATCTTGGGGTCCTCTTGGGGCCATGTTGGGGGTCCCTTGGGAGCCCTGGAGCGCCTGTTGAGGCTTTCTCGGGGGCCATCGATCAACAGGGACAGTCCTCGATTTTCGTCTTACCCCTGGTGCCATCAAGCTTACATCTTGCGGCCCCTTTTGGGACACTCTAGGAACGATCTTGGGCTCTCTTGGGGCCGTTTTGGGGGGGCTCTTGGGTCCCCTAGTGGGGCTCTCTTGGGCCATCTTGGGGTACTTGTAAGCTTGTAAAAGCGCATCGGAAGCGAGCCGGCGAGAAGGCACCACTCGTCGATGTTCTATAGGTCTGAATGGGGAGACCTTGATGGGGCTTCGGGGGCACTTGGAACCGTCTTGTAGTTCTCGTCGGGCTTCTCGGATGGAGGTATGTTGGAAGTTATGTTGAGCCACTTCCGGCTATTATGAGCCGCCTTGGAGGCCACCTTGCTTTTATCCTTGCTTCTGCCATCCGCATATGTGTGTGTTTGGTACATCCATTCCAGTGTTTCGTGGTCCCATAGGAGCTTCACCGAAGGCGCCAGTGGCTGCTCTCGCATGCGTTTCCCCCACACAGTACAGCGTTTCATGGCCCCATAGGGATCTCTACCGAAGGCTCCAGCGGCTGCACTCGCATGCGGCCCCCCACAGTACAGCGCTTCGTGGCCCCATAAAGAGCTCCACCGAAGGCCCGAGTGGCTGCTCTTGCATGCGTCGCCCCTGCCTAGTGCTGTGTCTCGTGGCCCCCTGGGGAGCTCAACCGCAGGCAGGCCCCACTGGCTGCTCTCGCATGCGTCGCCCACACCAATTGCAATGTTTCGTGGCCCCATGGGGAGCTCCACAGGAGGCCCCAGTGGCTGCTGTCGCATGCGGCTCCCCACGCCCACTACAGCGCTTCGCGGCCCAATGGGAAGCTCCACCGAAGGCCCCAGTGGCGGCCCCGCCAAATTAAGGCGCACACCTCACACTCTTCGTGGTACCATGGCAATTCCCACTTGAAGCCCCAGTGGCAGCGCCCACATGGCGGCCCCGCCCCACGTGGGCACACCCTTCGCATGCTCCATGGCACCATGAGGAGATCCCCCAACGACGGTAGTCACGCTGCATATGTTTGGATTCTTCGCCAGGATAATTTGTTGATTATCTTGGAGGTTTATTTGGGCTGTCTCTGCCCGTTCCAAAGCCCGCTGGCCCTGAAACGACTCGCCCGGAGCGCCCCGCCACAGCCAGGGCGCGCCCAGGGGATTTTGGTTCAGGGAGGGCAGGGGGTCTCAGAATCGAGAGTCTTTGTAGAGCTCGCATTACTTGGAGCGTTGGGGCACTCCGCTACCTGTTGGGGGAACGGTGGCGGATTAACAAGTAAGTAGTTCAATGCAGCAGCACTTGGAACTGACTGCTAGCAACAGCTACCGGACAACAATCAAATTTAGTTTGTCCCATCTGGTCTGGCGTAAGTGTAGCAGTGTGAACAGACGTACGATCTATCGTATTGTGACTTATCGTAACAACAAGCAGGTCGTCTGTGGCGGGCCTCACGTAGTATACCAGAAGTCACATGCAACACATCCTACGCAGTGGCTGGACCGTACGTCCGTGAGAAAGCAGCTAGAGCTCAGCTGCCAGCTGAGCAGCCGGTGGTAAGGTGTAGACGGCACGGAGCACGCAGTACGCGGTAAGCAGCGCGTGGCACGCATCGGGCTGGAAGTGACGTAGCGCATGGACCGCTGCACGTGGTAGTCAGTGTGTGGTCAGATACACGATCTTACGGTTTCGCTACGCGGGGCGCAGTACATGGCAAGCTGCAGCTCGAAGGCAGGATGCAGCACACTGAGCGAACTGAACCACTGCAAGGAGCACGCAAGAGCTATAGCCAGGCGAACGCACACAGGGCAGCACCCTCCCGCGTGTGGGGTGGCATCGGACGGAGCTCAGGCGCCTCCAGTATCCCGCAGGGGCGGCCGAGCCCACCCGCCCTCCTCCAGCCTCCACCTCCTCCTCCTCACTCTCCTCCTCCTCCCCTTCCTCCTCCTCCTCATCCTCCTCCTCCTCCTCCTCCTCCTCCTCCTCCTCCTCCTCCTCCTCGCCCCCCGGCTCGCGCGGGCCAGGTCTCGGCCCTCAGCGCGTCGCTGCGCTCGACGCTGGGCCTCGCGGCCCCGAGCGGTGCCGACGGCCCCGGGGAGGGACTAAGTGCTGGCTGGTAGGTGCTCTCTCTTGTTGTCCATCGCCCGCGGCTCGTTCGTGTGGTACGCTTCGTGGCACTGCCCGCCTCATTGGAGGGGAGACTCGCCGAGCGCGTTCCACTGCTCGCAAAGTGCCTACTCGCAGACGTCCGAAAAACATGGGTCGGCTCTGATGTCATTTCTCGTAGATCCCCCGCGGCGTGTCTAGGCCATTTGCGAGCAGTTACTCTGCGAGTAGTGGGACGCGCTCGTCTAAAAGCGCAGCGGACGTTGAGACCCTGCGAGGCCCCCCCCCCCCACACACAGCGCGCAGGGCGCCGCCCGCGGTGGGAAGGCTCGCCGTCGTGGGGCGTGGGGCCGGATCCAGGGAGCCCCGTGGTCCGCGGTGGGCCTTCGGCCTCCTTCGCGCGAGCTGGGGCATCCATGGGGCACAGGTGATGGGCGTGTTTCCCACCACCACCATCATAAGTTGGCGGGGGTGTCCTCCTCCTCCTCCTCCTTCTCCTCCTCCTCCTCCTCCTCTTCGTCCTCCTCCTCCTCGCCCTCCTCCTCCTCCTTCCCCCCTCCAACTTATGGTGGTGGTGGTGGAAAACAGGCTCATCAACAGGGCGGCCCCAGACGGAGTCCCGCAGTTCGTCTTCGCCCCATCGAGGCCGCGCGGGCCACCCCGGTGTGGCCCGTGGCGGGCTGCCGCGGGGTGTTCCCAGGGGCGGCGCGAGGAGGATCATGATGTCGATGCACGCCTAATCTCAGCTGCTCTGATACGCACGTCATGAAACGCAACACGTGCCGTGTTCAAAAACTCCGCGTTCAAAACGCGCGTGTTCGGTCTCCGTGTTCGAGCTTCGTATCAACACGCTACGTGTTGCGTGCTGCGTATCGGGGCAGCCGAGCGCCTGCTACGTTCGACGGCACTTCGGGAGGCGGTGCTCCACTCGGATCCCTTGGCGGAGACGCCACGCTACACTTCCCCGGCGCCCAGGAAGCGGTGACAGTTCACGCTGGGCAGCACCCGGGCAGATGAAGAGGCCTCGTCCAAGTCCGCGTGGCTGGCCTTCCCGAGCCCGCCCCCTACGGGCACCAGCGGCCAGAACCACATGCCAGACATACCGTCGGGGCGCTGAAGAAGGCACCCTTTTCGTTTGGGAGGTGCTCGGTGCTCTTGACTGCTTTACAGCTTGCCTCAGGTTTTCCTGAGGTTGTGCATAGGACATTGGAAAAAGAGGCCCAGTTCCTTATTTTGGGTTCCTTAGGTCAACGCCCCGACTGCAGCTCCCAGGGGCATCACAGGATTGTCCCTCTGGGGCCACCCTGTGGGCCTCCTGGGGCGCCTCCTGCGACCTCCCTTCGGCGACCCCCTGGAGCCGCCTGGCTGGGACCTCCTGGGGCCTCCTGGGACCTCCCGGGACCTCCTGGAGCTTCCCGAAACCTCCTGGAGCCTCCCGGGACCTTCTGGAGCCTCCCGGGACCTCTGGGGCCTCTTGGGGTCTCCTGGGACCCCCTGCTTCCCAGGGCCGCCTGGGGAGAGCCTCCTGGACCTTCCTGGAGCCTTTGGAGGGTCTCTTGGAGCCTCCTGGGGCCTGCTGGGGCCTCTTGAAACCTTTTGGGGCCTCCCATGGGACCTCCTGGAACCTCCTGGGGCCTCCTTGAGCCTCCTGGAACCTTCTGGGGTCTTTGAAAGCCTCCTGGTGCCTCCCGGGGCCTCCTGGCTCCCAGGACCTCGGGAGCCTCCCGGGACCTCCTGGAGCCTCCTGATGGGGCCTCCTCCGGCCTCCTGGAGCCTCCTGGGACCTCCTGGAGCCTCCTGGGGCTTTCTGGAGCTTCCTGGGACCTCCTGGGGTCTCTCGGCGCCTCCTGGGTCCTGCTGGGGCAACTTGAAACCTCTCGGGACCTCTTGGAGCCTCCCAGAACCTCCTGGAGCCTCCTGGGGCCTCCTGGAGCCTCCTGGAATCTCCTGGGGTCTCTTGGAGCCTCCCGGGGCCTCCTGGGGCCTCTTGGGGCCTCGCGGGACCTTCTGGAGACTCTTGGGGCCTCCTGTGGTCTCCTGTGACATCCTGAGGCCTCCTGAGTCCTCCCTCCTGGTACCTCATGGCGCTGCCCCCTTGTTGTACATGTCTATTATAAGATGCACCTTATACTCACAGGGGTGATTGGACAACATAACTGTACATACGTATGCACATGGACAGATGCATGGGCACGCTTGCATACACGTATTCGTACACGCATAAGCATATGTGTACATATGTATAGATGTATATTTAGTTGTATGGTATACCACTATACACCTGTATACAGCACCTATCCCTACACACATGTATAGCTGCACATGTTTATTTGTATACGGTGGCAAACTTACTCTTCGAATCGGCGCCCCTTCTGTCCTAGCCTTTCTCCTCGCCCATCCTCGAGCTCTTCCCAAGGGAGGCGGGAGTCACCAACGTCGAAAGCAACGATGTCGTCGTAATCGCCGTCGTCGTCGTCGTCGTCGTTCCCAAAGCCGAAGCGGAAGCAGTGTAGAGAGCTAAAGAAGCAAGAACAGGAACAGGATCATGAAGAGCGGGACAGGGAGGGAGGAGACGCAGGATAAGCAGACGCAGGAACGGAACGCGCGTGAAACCAAAGAGCTCTCGGAGCTTGCTTGGCATCCTTCTTGGAGTCCTATTGTAGCTCTCTTCTTGGGACCCTCGTGGGACCCTCTCAACGCTCCAACAAAAACGGGGGCTCCAAGACAACCCCTAACGAGGCCCCCATAGCACCCGAAACACATTGAATGTTGTTGCGGGTGCGGCGACCAGGTCCCGGAGGCGGAGCCCGCGATGGCGGGTCCGGCTACTGGCGCTTCCTGTGCGAGCGCTTGGCGGAGGAGCACCAGGCCCACCTCTCTGCTCCCGTGTGGTGCCCTGCCACCACCGCTTGGTGCCTGTGACCGTGGCCGCTCTCGTCGCCTCTCCTCCTTCCGTGCCGCCGTGTTTTCTCGAGCTGACGTCTTGCTGCAATGCGGCGCGCATCAGTCGCACCCGTGACTGTTCTCCCCATCCTGCCCATGCAGTTTGAACATATCCATTTTGTCGTGTGTCCCTTCTAGAGTTGCTGACCTCCCTGTGCCGCGATCCAGCCTGCCTGTCTCGTGCCCGCGTTCGCGCAGGCTGCCTGACGCTTCGGGCACCCGAGGCCCAATATCAGGAGGGGGACAAGCACACAGGCACAATGAGTCGTCGACCCCCTGGGGAATACGGGAAAATGTGGGCACTGGGGGAGAAGACGACAACCCAGAACAAATGGGGAAATATGCGGAATCATGGGATGTGTGTGTGTATCTGTGCTCCCCAATTAGAGCTTTGCGTGGCCCGCCTAGCTTTTAACCCGAATAGGCTCGCTCTCGAGCCGCAGATCAAAACAAGTGTGTGTATCTGTGTGTCCCAGGGCCCCTCTCCAACTTGGCGTGCCCAAGAAAGCGAGGCCCGCCTCTGCTCGCCTCGGCCCGGCTGCTCGTGGAGCCTCCCGCCCTCGCTCGGCGACCGCAGGAGTCAGGAGGGGCAACAGCACATAGAGGCACGATCAATCGTCGACACCCAGGAAAGTATGGGAAAGAACGGACGGTGGGGGGGAAGACGAACACCCAGAAAAGACTGGGAAGATAGGGGGATCTCCCGGGCACTCTCTGTGTGTGTGTCTTTGTGTGCGTGTCCTTGGGCCCCTTTGCACAGGAAGGGTGGCTATGCCAGGCCGTGGTGTGCGATCGGCGCCGCTGGGGCTTAAGCTCAAAGGAGCCGTCTGGGGACCTGACGTGGGAGAGACGTTTGCCATTTTCTGCCTCTGGGGGCCGCTTCGGACCGCAGCGCCGCCGCACACGGCTCTGTGGCGAACAGCTGCACCAGAGGCCGCAAACGGCACGAAGCCCCCCGCGAGAATCGGCCTCGCCGTGGTGCCCACACACACAGACGCACACACACACACACACACACACACACACACACGCACAGCACACACGCACGCACGCACGCACGCACGCACGCACGCACGCACGCACGCACGCACGCACGCACGCACGCACGCACGCACGCACGCACGCACGCACGCACACACACACACACACACAGACACACACACACACACGAACACGCACACACACACGCGAATCGGCCCCCCCACACACCCTGACGCACATACCGCGCAGTCTCCCCGCCGTGGCGCCAGCCCGCGGCTTGCCGGTCCGCGCGCGCCGCAGGCGAGGCCCGGCGCGCGCACGGCATGGAAGGACACCCGGCAGCCGAGGCCCAGAATTGCAGCCGCTCCCCCACCGAAGCAGCAGAGTCCGTCGGCTGGAAGCCCTATACTCTTATGTCGGGCGTGTCCCGCTACAGGGGGATTTTCGACGAAAAGTTAGAAATACCCCAAAAACATTCCAACAAAACATTCCAAAAATAGTCCCCCGACCATTTTTGGAATATTTGGGGGGTATTTTTGATGTTTCGTCGACAATCCCCCTGCAAGGGGACAGGCCCGACTTAATTATACTCGCTCATCAGCGTTCCTGCACGGACCCCATTGGCCACGAATTTCGGGAGCAACATGGCCCACCATTTCCAGGCGCGCACGTCCGACAGAGAGCACAACTATCACACCGCCGAGAAGATGCTCCTCATCATTTCTGGGCACACTGGGGCTGGGGACGCACGCGTTGTGATTATTTGCGTGCGGGTGCGCAGTGGCGGTCAACCACGGACGAGTTTATCCGAATCATATGGTCTGCATTGCGCGCCCCCCTGCTTTACAATGAAGGGGGGACCCGGTCGACATCGCCGTTCGCGGACACGTTCGAGTACGATTGATTGTCGGCTGCCTCCCCGTGTCCCGCACAACCCGCGAATTGGCTACAAGCGACCTGACGTTCAACGCGCATGCCGCATGTGCATAGCCTGTCTTGCTTCTTCGCCAACGGATCATGCCCCTTGGTTGGACTGTGCATAAATGGCAGCAGGTCTTCTTTCGGCTACGAACGGCCGGGATGTCTAAGCGCTCCGCACGACCGTCTCCGACCGTGCCGACATAAGCTGCGAGCATTAAATCGTCATCAGTTTCATGGCCGACACGCAGAATTGGTAGCTCATCTCATTCTGCGAGCCATTGTACCACGCAGCTCCCGACACGGCGGCAGACCTGACTGTCGTGGGCCAGCGCAGCGCGAACGACCAACATTGACGCGCGAACGGGCCCAACTTCGAGATCGAAGCGCGGCGGTCGGCGGATGTTATGTCAAACGGGCATCTCGAAGGCTACGCGAGCACGCACAATGGAAGCAAGCATGGTGGAACCATTCTTTCGACGAGCAATGGCTTCTTTTCCGCCGCAACCTCCCCGGACTGGCTGAACTCAGCCGGTTGCGAGCGCGCGTTCTAATTGGACCCGAGGAACGCGCGTTCCTGACCATCATTGGCGCCCGACCGACGGCTGCCCATTAGCGACGCCCTCGGGAAGGGCGGCGTCGAAGGTGGCCTCGCCGCAGGACCAGCGCACATCAGCATCTACATTGACGGCGAAAAGGCAGCTGAACAGATCTGGAACTTTGGGGAGGGCGACGTTCGCCCCATCGGCGAATGCAGAGTGTGCCTTATTCAAGAATCATTACTCTTGGCTGCTGAGGACCTCGAGACAGTGGGCAAACGTATCCGGTCAAAGAAGCATAGCAAATATTGCGAAGGCCCTACGGCCGGCGCCGCCGACCCTGAATGGCGACGACGACGACGACGAGCGCTCTTGGGTGCCTCTTGGGGGTAGTTTGTGGGCCTCTTGGGAAGCTCTGAGGGGCCGCTTGGAAGCCTCGTGGGGGCCTCTTGGGGCTTCCTGGGGGTCTCTTGGAGGGGGCGTGGGACGTCTTGGAGGCTTCTTGGACGGTCTGGGGGCTATCTTGGGCGTTTTCGGCCGATCTTTGGGCGACTCGGGGCCCTCTTGGGCCGTCTCGGGGGCCATCTTGGGCATTCAGACTTCATTTGGAATGTTTTCGAATTTTTTAAGGCCGTCCGAGGAAAAACTAATCTGCCCCCCCCCCCCCCCCCCCACCCCCCCCGGGACCCCCCCCGGGCCCCCCCCCGGGCCCCCCCCCGAGACCCCCCCCGGGACCCCCCGGGACCTCCCCTGGGACCCCCCCCCGGACCCCCCCCCCTTGGGAAGGGGTCAAAGGGCAGGGGCCCCCCTTCGACTCGATTACGACACTGCTAGATTTTTCTTTCGCCCACGAGCTTGAGAAGGAAGCTGCAGGGAAAAGGGGCGACGGATGCGACGACCGACGGAGATGACGAGTCGAACAGCTATGCCCCTCGCACACGCCGACAGGGTCGGCGGATTTGCCCATTCGGTGCTGGCCGACAGCGTTCACAACAGGTTACCGTCCCTGAGATATCTCAGCCGATCTGGGCTGCCGCGCAGCGGACTAGGCTGTGCCCTACCCTGCAGGCTTCGCATTTTTTCCTACGCCCAGGCGCCGGGCTCGCGGACGACGATGGCCTCTGGCGACGCCGTAAAGCCCGACGCCCCGATCAGCGACCATTCGGGCGCGACCGCGGCCGCTGCCAAGCCCCCGCGGTCGCTTTCAAGCACCTGCTAGCGCGCCCGCGATTCAGAGGCACTCCCAGCGCAGCCCTACCCCGGCCAGACCGCGGCCAGCGGCAGAAAAGGCAAGGAGCCTCGAGGCGACGAACCGCACGTCTGAGCATGCGGCGCGTCTTCTGTCCCTTCTTGCGTCTCTGCCTCCGCCGCGGCATGATCGACTCCAGCAGCGCGCGCGCGCTGCCGCCCTGGGATCGCGGCGGCGCCCGAGCACGCCGACGAGAAGCGCATGTGATGTTGATGCGCATCGCTACCTTCAGGTTCCGCGAGGCCCACGCTCAGCACGCGAGACGCGTTTTCGGCGCAGGGTTGCCCGAACGATTTCTCGCAGCGCGCGGGGCTCGCGCGGGCGACCCCCACTTTGAGGACATGCCATCACAACGCCGACAGAAAGCTACAATGCGGATCGAAGCCTTCGACGCTCTTCTCGGACTTCAAATGCGAAGCGGCGGGCGCATGGGCGATGGCGACGAGCCAGAGACTGAGATATTCGCGGAACCATTCGGTCCCTGATTCATCGACTGGGGTCGGGAGTTCACGTATACACTTGGCGATGGCATGGCAGCGCTCAGTCCGATAGCCGGCACTTCTCTGCGCGTCGATATGGGCGCCTCCATCGTTGACGTTCTTCGCGTTCTCGCCCTACCGGGCGGCGCGCTGCGCCGAGCTTTAGCCGTGGAGTGCATGGGCGCGTCCACCTTGAACGCCAAGTTCCAAAAAGGAGACCTCGCGAACGTTGCGGGCCGCGGGCGGGCGGGCCCGGGGCCCCGCTGCTCGCGCGCGCGCAGACGCAGCGTGCATTGGCGGAGTGCCGTTCCTCGTCCGGGCCGTCGCCCCTGCCTTTCTCGCGCTCTGCGCGCGACGTCCCGGGCGGCGGCGGGTTGCGCGCGAAGAAGCTTGGCGCCGTGATCAACTTCCCGCCGGTTTTTCCTGGCGCCGCGACATTGGGCGCCGAGTCGCCGCGCAGGGCCCCCCCTCCCTGCCCCCCTCGCGCCCGCCCCCGCGCCGATGGCCAACGGCGCCCTGAACGAAGGCGCCGCCGCGCGCGCGTGGGCCCATGCAATTTCATCGAGATCTCGGGGGCGCCCTCGCAGCCCCGCGCGTCCGACTGGGGGCCCCGCTCCAGCATCTGGGAGTTTTTCGCGCACTTTGAGTTCCGGAGTCCGGGAGGCATTTCAGAGGATCGACTTCGGCTGCGCTGGGCAGGCCAACCCGTCGCGCCCCCCCCCCCCCCCCGATTGCCTGCGCGCGCGCGCCTCTCAACGG